TATCCCCACAGAGAAGCTAAGTCAGTTGAAGCCAAGACAGGGTTTGTTTCCAGGTTGTCCAAATTGATAATATTGCCTCCCCCAGGTCCACCAGACCTTTGAGAGTCGTCTTGTTCAAGGAGCGGGATCTTCAGCCAGCCTGCCACCACCGTCTTTCCTCTCCTGAGATGTATTTGAAGACACAACTGGCTGAAGGTAGCACTCTTTTCCCACTGACCTAGAGCTAAGCCTCAGAATCCATTCTGACCTACTTTTAGGGAAGCTGATGGAATGGAACAGAGCTGGTATTCCATAGGAAACCTCTGCCATCCCTGAGGTGCGCTTCTTAATAAATAGGTCAGACAAGGAAGCCCTGGGATGCCATGTGGCTTGCCCGAGGTCACAGTTTACCAAGTGGCAGTGTTGGGACCAGAGTCCAGGTCCCTCCCCTGCCTCTTCCACTCTCCCTTGTTTCTGATATACTGAGCACTTGCTCTTGAGACTTTCACGGCATGGCATACAACCAAAGAGGGGTACCACATCCATTTTTGCAGTAAACATGCTTCACAGAGCTATGGGGGGGCGGGGGAGGCGGTAAGGGTTGTGCAGAGTGGGTGGCACACAACAGTCCTCCCAGGCAAGTGAGCACATGGAGCTAACCTAGAACTTGGGAACCCAGCATCCTCAAAGCAAGTCATGTAACGGCCGCGACCAACCTCCCGCACGGATTACCAATGCCAGTGCTCTGAGCACACACAGGAACGACACACATCTAACAGCTGGTTTCCCTTCTCCCTGTTTTGTGTCTGCAGCAGCACCGTCCTGCTCTGTGCATTGAACATGCCTTCAAGGTCTTCTTTCCATTTCATTAGCTCATCCAGTGGGTTGTCAGAAGTGAATGGAAATAAAAACTTGTTATGCGTGTTATGGAATTTATTTTAATGCTACCACCGCATCCTACAGAAACAGGTTTAATAATAATTAAGTGGCCCAATACTGGAGTGACAGAGAAAAGGAAGAAAGAGGGAAGGCCAGGAGGGCTGGCGGAGTGTTAGTAACTGCAGTGGCTGCGTCAAAGGGCTGAGACGTGAGGTCTGACCCCAGAGCAGAGCGGGCCTTCCTGGGAACTCCAGCCTCATCCAGTGCCTGACACACAGAAATGGATAATAAGGAAGTGCTTGCAGGTGGGGTAGTGGAAGAGCTGGAAATAAAAACAGGTGGACCCAAGTGGCCAGCTGACCCAGAGTTACAACAAAACTCCGTGGGGAGCTCGAAGGTGTGTGAAAGCCAAGAGCGCAGAAGCGGAAGTGCAGACCAACTGGGGCCGGCAGCCACCTCTTGTAGAAGGTTCGCTGCACGCAGCATCATAGGTGCCGTAAGCAGCGCTGGGATGAAACCTCCAGGGACCAGACGAAAGGTCAGACTGGGGGTGAGGAAGGTGTTTCATGGGGAATCACTGATCATTAAAATAATTCATCCGAGGGAGATGTTTAAATAAAGTCATCTAATTTTAAGTTTGATGGGTGAATGGAGTGTGTGTGTGTGGGGGGGGGCGCAGGTGGCTAGGGAGTTTGGAAAGGGAAAAAAATATAAAACACTTTATTAATTAAGAAAATAAGAGACAATATTAACTAACAAAATTAAAAATGTCTTTCAAACACATTAGAGACCATAACAGACATATTGAGACAGGCAGAGGAGACAGTCGGAGACACCTGTCAGCTGGCCACTCCTGCAAGGCCCAGAATAAGCCACAGTCATCTGTTTGGCCCCATCCTGGGTCCCCCTGAAACAATGGGTTTATCCCCTTCTGGCATTCCGCTAGGTCTCTATTGTACAGGAACTGAAGTGCTCTCTAGGCCACGAGAACTGCTCACACACTAAAAATGTCTCTAGCAGCCTAAATGGCATTTCAAATAAATACTGTGAATTGATGAAATGACCAATTATGTTAAGTACCCATGCCTGGTGTAATCCAAACCAAATCTTACCCCATTATCCTCAAAACTGCGAGGTGACTCAGCAGGCCCTCTCGCCAGTGATGCCGCAAGAACCCAAATACACAGGCCGTACTCGATAGGGCCTCGAGTACTTCTAGTTAATTCCTGCAATTGGTTTTTTGCTGGAGGAAAAAAAAATAACTGGACTATGTTTCTGTTCAATCGCTTATCAACCAAACAACTATCAGACAACACAGTAACGATTATGTCATTTTGTTCCCCTCATTTCAGGTTTTAACTTCCATTATTTCCGCTTTGGACATCACATTACTCTCTTTAAATGTATCTTGACACCTGTGATGTCATTATCCCAAAGTGCCCATGACTCACTCATCCTACCACATGAAGTCCCCACCCCTCTGCTCTCGTGATCCTCTCGTGCCTATGTCCTCCTGCTGTTTCTCCCCTTCTTGGAATGCCCTCTTTTTCTGTTTCCACATGCCCACATCTATCAATTTTTCAAGGCCTTGCTCAAGTGTCAGTACTCCCTATGTTCCCATCCCTCTGACAAAAATAAGCCCTTCTCCTTTAAACAGTGTGACACATCTGCTTATGTTTGCTGCTCCTGCATTCTTTTAGTCTCAAACCCCTGCGGCCGCTCCACCCAGCAGGGTCTCCCAGTGCCCCTGGCTCAGCCAGTTCTGCTCAGGATCTGGGCCCACCGTCAAGATGGGCTTCTGCGGGCAGGTCCCCGGGCCCGGGTCACGCTACATGACCAAGCTTCACCTTCTATCTACCCTTCTTCTGGAAACAGGGTTCTTCAGGGTGTTCTATTAGCCTTCAATTCCAACCCCTGGGGCTGGAACCTATTAAGAGAGTTCTTTCCCATTGTCTGATTTCTAGAAAACTGTCCTCCTGCTTGCCATGGGGAAAAAGAAGGAATGTGTGCATATTTTAAAAATGTAAAGTATAAAAATGAGGTAAGTCAGGTTGTTTTCTTCTACTTGATTTTAAACTAAACCTTCCACTGGTATGACCGGGCAACTCCCTTCTCAAGATGCCCATGTTTATTGTAAAACTTTTGCTTGCGGGCTTGAGCAAATTCTCAACGTGCCAGTATCACCCACCAAAGGAACACAAAAATATTAATCAGGAGGAACATGCACAGGGTTTGAAAAATCGTGTCACAATAAGTGTCTCGAGAAAACTATATGTACAGACCCAGCAAATAAAGAAACATCACGAGAGAAAAAAGAAAACACTAACAAATCCCTGCCCATATTCCCAGTCTCTCCAAGATCCTTCGGATTTTCACATGTGCAAAAAAAATAAGGGGGCTGTACTGAATTGGATGTGGCTTCAATGAGCATCTAGAATCTGTAATAATTTAATTCTCAATGCATAGAGTAATTAGGAGAATTTTTAACCCTCACAGAAAGAGAAAACAGGTCTCCCTAGAGAGTAAAAATCACTCAATTTCAGAAACCTTATTGATGTTTCTCATCATGCTTTTGCCCAAAACAACCCAAAACTAATATATACAGAGCAAATCTTACCTAATGTGGAACTTAATGAATAAAAACCCTATAAGGAAATGCTCCAAGAAAATAAATCCCTTTTCTGAAAACAATCCAAACAAGATGGTAGTCATATCATTGCTACAGATCTGGAGGAAAAATAAAGATGCACATAACTTTGACATTCGCTTGAAAAAAACCCAAAGGTCATCAATCCGTTTCCACGTATACTATCTAAAGGGAGAAGAGAATAGGTTATTTTTTAAAGTATCTATTCATTTTTGAGAGTGGAGGGCATTTCCTTTTGTTCTTAAATATTTAGGATGTCTCTGATGGTCATTAAAATTACGATTAATCAAAGTTGCCTGCCTAAATTTCACCCATACCAAGCAAAAATGCAAAGAAATTCTTAAGTTCTTGGTTTCACAGATGATTAGAAAGAGAATACAAAATTGCAGGGCCTATAAAACAACAAAAATGTGATATCTCTCACAATTGTTTGAGCTGCTCCAGAAACTGAGGATGAATATCTCTCTTCTTTACCACATTTATATTCTTCTCCTTCACACACAGGGCTAGCCCTCAGCATGTACTTTTAAGGAAAAGAGGTGTAAACCAACCAAACACAGTTCTAAACCAATGAAAAATGCACTGAAATTTCTTACCATAAGCCCAGTACAGTTCTAAAGCACCTGGTAAAACAAAATTCACCTGCTTTTGGCCATCTGTGCCACTCTGACACCTAGCCAATCAACAGAGGCTGATGGGATAGGAAACTGGGAGCCCCTTGGGAGCCAGCCAAGGCCAGCTTATCTACAGAGGAGATATCCAGAATGGCAATAACCTAAAAGTAATGTCTGAAAGTATTTAGAATGCATCTTACTGCTATTTTTAGCCATTTATTCTTCTTTAACTTTGGCTATTTCAAGACAAACTTAATGGAAAAAATAGAGATGAAACACTGGTTGAATTCCTTGAATCTACTGGACAGGAGCTCGTGCAAAGCAGCTGACGATGGGCTGGACAGCAGGAAGGATGTATCCCTGCAAATTGATGCTTGTAGGGACAAGGGAGGGGTGTCTGAACTCTGAGCCTCAGAACAAACCATAGTCACCCTTCCAGGCACATATGAACATTAGGGGACAGCCAGGCACGAGTGGACCTCCACGATGACCAAAGTGCCAAAACACCCAAAACATCCCTCTTTAAGCTCAAGCATTGAAAATACGTAATGGGGTTTGTTTTTATCAGCCCAGTTTATGGTACTGTAACATCTCAATTTCAATGTAATTCCAATTTCACCAAAGCAAGCCAAACACTTCTAAAATATGACCAGTGACGACAGACCAAAAAAGCAGTCCTACTTTCAGACTAACAATTCCCGTCAACCAGAAGACGTGAATAGGAAAAAATAAAGAGAACTGGACAAACAGACCCAACCCACAACAGCCATACCTCTCCAATGCCCACTCCTCAACAAGACGGAACTCTCCTGATTGACACCAAGCACAAAGGAGTGTTGAGATGGGGTGGGAGAGGGGGACAGGGGCTTCTAGAGACCTACCTTGCAGAAGGGCTCCATTTCTCTTGAAGAAGGTACTGCCTGGCCAGATGGGTGGACCTGATGTGCTGAAATAAAAGAAAAACCAGCATGAGGACCAGCTCAGTTACACTCACCTGCACTCAGGCACATCACTCAAAATGGCCTCAAACACTTTCCCAATTATGCATTATTTATACCCTCTCAAAATGAACCATTCGTTTTGTTTTATGATTAATGGACTTCCTATTTCACAGGGCAGAGCCTGTCTGTGTGGGTACTCTGGTTTACTGTCTTGACCATGCTCCCTCCTGGGCACTGAAATCATTTGCAGGTAAACAAAACAGCAAATTCACACAGCTCAATATCATTGCTTATAACTTTTGTAAACTTGTTCATAACTTTATGATTTTAGGTGGCAAAGAACATCTACCCATGTCTGAGTCCAGGAGGATTTTCCAACACTTCCTGGTGCCACCTGCCGATTGTAAATGCAACCTTGTCTCCCTTGGCTTTTCTACCACCGAATCCTTAACATGCGGATATGACCTTGATCATGCGGATATGACCTTGATCGACTTCCTCCCTCCCCTATACTCTTATTTCATATCCTGTTTTCAATTTCTTGGCTTGAAATCTTGCGCTTCATTCCCTCACTGCAGATACCTTACCACCACCCACAGTCTGGTAACAAGAAAGGCAAGAGAATAAGAAAGATCAATATATCACAAAAAACACTTGACTGCATTTCTAGACAAGCATGTCCACTGTTTTTAAGACACCCAGTGGAAAAACCTCATAACCAAGCCTGTCTTTGTGAAACATCCTTAGAGTGGAAAGTAGGTTATTCTAATCCAAGGATTGGTTTAGATTAATGGCAGAGAGCACTTAGTCAAAAATGTTACGACATCCAGCGCAAGAAAGAGTATAAACTACTTTTCATCAAAACAGTCCATGGCAAATGATATTGGTTAATGCACTCTCAATCACCTTCAACATTAAAAAAATAAAAAGTTGGTCTGAATAATACATTCGGAAATTCAGCGGACACACACACACACAAAGAAATCTGAAGGGCTATAGAATGAATGCTTCACCTGTCGGCTAGGGTCTCTAGCAGTGCAATACTGTTGACAAAAGAAATGCCAGTGACACATTCTACTGACCAAAACTTCATTACTAGAGGTACAAATAGCATACCAGGGACAGAGTACACCATCGGGGAAAAGTAGAGAGGGGAAGAAAAGAGCTAAAGCATAAAAGTCCCACTGGGTTGTCGGAGAAGTCATGATGAATTTTTTCTGTTTTTCGTTGCAAAATTGCGTCATGGCTTTTCCAACAACCCAATATTAAACGTCAAAATAATGTCGTTTGTGTTAGAAAACACACTGATGTAAGTAAATGCACCTTTTTGTTTTATTTTGTATTCAGAGTAAGAGAAAATAATGCATCTCAGCTATGGCTTTTCCTGCAGCCCTGATTCTCAGCTCTGGCAGCTGTGGCCTCTGAGTGGCCAGGAGTTGCCCAGGACAACAGCAGATCTGGCTGGGGTCATAGGGCTGGAGAAGGATAGCAGCAGATTTCTCTTCCACCTGATTCTGGTCCTATTCAGTTTTGAGGCTTTTAAGACTCAAAGTTGCATGCAACATAATATGCATTAAAATACTTAAGATTATCTTTTAACAATTCCAGCCAGCTCCCGGGGATTTTACCATCTTATTTTTATAAGAAAGCAGGAAACAGCAAGCTGGCTTTTGCCAATACCGAATCACTTGATTTCTCAAGATATTTAAGAACTGAGGACTTCATTATTGAGGAGTTGGTGCTTCTAGAGAATTCAATAATTGAGTATTACTGCAGGAGCCCCAATATCCGGCTTACTTCCATCCAAATCTCCTCTTTATCCTGACCTTGATTTGGCTGAAAACTGAGCAGATGCCAGGGATGGAGTAAATGTTGGGGAACTGGGGACAGGTAAATCCAGTGGTTTAGGTAAGGAAATTTCTCTGTATGATAGAAATCTACTTAAAGATTTCTACAACATCCTTCTAACTGAAGTCACTTAAGTCACTGATCACTGTTCTAGTCGCCCAGCTGTGCTGCCTGTGTAATCTATACGCCAGTAGCAGAGAAAGGTTTGGACTGGCCACCCACCTGTGCTCTTACCTGGCCCCCGTTGTGACTGATGAATTCATTTGCCTGTGATCTCTTTCTACCTCAAGGTAAGCTCTTCCTGTCATGCTAATTGCAACGCTTTTGTGCTAATTGGCCCCATATTCTACACTCTTCTCTTTTGGATGGTCCCTTGAAATTACATCTGTTAGTAGATTCAAGAATTTGCTAAGTGCTTCTTGAGAGAATTGTGCTTGGGGGGAGGGAGGCAGGGAGGATTAAAAACCATATTTCATGGCTTCTAGGAACTTACTGACTCACTTACCTAGCTCCAGCCTTCTAGGATTCTATCTAAAGAGACAAGAAATGTCTATAGAAAGGTCAACGGTTATGACTCTAGTGGCTGCAGTTTGGGAAGGCTGCAAATTGATCCCCCCCCCCAATCTGGAGATGTTCCTAGCTCACTGGTCTTTAAAGCTGTAAGTTAGCTTCAAAACACTGTATGAATTACTTAAAAGCCTGTATCAACCCCAGTAATTCAGAGAAGCAGCGTGTGGTCCAGATCTTGGGAGGGAGAATCTGAGGCCACCCTGGAAAGCACCCATTCAGGTGGCAAATCAAAAGGAGGGAGGCTGGGGGGTGCCTTGTGTTGGGGATGGGTAACGGACTCCTCATACTCAGTGAGTCGTTGGTCACTTATAAATGGTTGTGGCCATGAGAGGTGGACACTATGGCCCCCTTAAACCTACCCAAGTGGGTTTTCAACACCATCACATTGCTTGATGCTGGGATAGCAAATTACCATTATGGGGCACAGCATGGGACCCTCCAACACTGTGGGTGGCAGGGCAGGACCCACCCTCCCTATTCTATAGCTAAGGATATGGAGGCCCCGAGAGGTGAAAGGACTCACCCAAGTCATCACATGGCTAGTTAGTGATCAGCCCAAGACCAGACCAGGACTTCCAGTGCCAGCCCACTGTCCCAACACACACACACACACACACACACACACACACACACGCGCACACACACACATATCAAGGGCCCCAACTTCATTTCTCATCCTCCAGCACGCCTCTTCCAGTCCTCTAAGTGCTAAACTTGTAGCTACCCTTCTCCATGGAAGAAGGCTGTGGATGGTATTTCACTACGAATCTCTCCGAGGCAAAATCCCAGGCTAGAAAAAGCAATCAGGCTAGCCATATGTGACACAGAGACACGTGGGCTCCTATTAGCAGAAACAATACATCCCGGGCCCCACAAATGTCTCATTTCAATAACGCTCTAACAGAATCCCATGACCTTCAGCACTCTAAGCCAAACTCGCTTTGTGACAAAAGAAGCCAGCAAACAGGTTAAGAGGGCCTTGCCTGCCAGAAAGGCAGTTTGTGAACTGGCATTTGAGAACATTGATCCAGCCGATCATTAAGACCAGAGCTGAGCCAGCAAATCCCAAGAGATGAGCGATATCATCCTGAACAGCAGACCCAGCGTCTGCCAGAGACTCGCGGCCCTCCGTCGCTCCCTGGGCCTCGCGCTCTCAGCTGCATTACTTCCAACTCCCAAGGGGTCACCATGAGTCAAACAGGTCGTAGTGCCCTAAGGTGGCTCTTGGCATAATGTGATGTGATCTGTCTGTCATGTTTTCTCTACACTCATGAGCTTTCATCATTCTGCGAACCGGCTGGGTTGTAACCGAAAGACCCTGGCAGGTTCTTGCAAGACCCACACCTGTGTTCACTGGCCTAAACTTTCTGTAAGTCTAATGAAAAGCAAATTAAGAAAAGTCCTTTTTTCCCTAAGAACGCAGCTGCCAAATGTGAATTGGTATGTCTGAAAGAGAGAACAAGACATTACAACATGGAGGAACCTTGAGGACACTCTGCTAAGTAAAATAAGCCAGGCACCAAAGATCATATACCATAGGATTCCATTTATGTGAGGTCCGTGGAGGAGTCTGATTTGCAGAAACAGAGAGTGGTGGTTTCCAGGGTCTGGAGGGAGCGGGGAGTGGGAAGTGAGCGCTTAATGGGTTCAGGGCTTCAGCTCTTCAAGGGAAAAAGCATTGTGGAGGCTGGCTGGGCAACAACGGGGATACACTTACCGCCGCTGACCCATAAGGCGGTCAAGAGGGTTAATGGTGAAGTGGTTAAGATGATGTAATTTATGTTATGTGTATTTCACTACAGTTAAACATTTTTTTTAAGATTTTTTTTTTTTAAGATTTAAAAAATTTTTATTGGGAATTGGGGAAAGGGGAACAGACAAGTTGCTGTCGTTTTGTTCTTCAGTCTAGTTGTGGAGGACGTTGCTTCACTGGCCCAAGTTGGCACCATCATTGCACTCTTCCCGGGCGAGGCAGATCAGTCGCCGGCTTCTGGACGGCCGCTCACGCTGGCTGCTGGCTACATACGGTAGCCCATGGCAACCCACTGCCACAGGGGCTGCAGCCTACGCTGTCACAGGCGACTCACGGCAGCCCAGCTCCAGGTGGAGCTGTTGTTCAGCATCTTAGCTGTGGAGGGCAGTGTCACTGGCCCTCATATGTGGGATCCGAACTGGGGCCCTCTGGTGTCCCAAGCCAGCTCTTAACCAACGCGCCACTCGGCCAGCCCCAGTTAAACATTTTTAAAATATAAAACGAGAGAAAGAATTAAAATACAGAAGTCTCTGGAAGAAGTGAATCAAGGCCTGAAGACTGAGCGCTGAAGGACCAGCCTACGTGTTGTGTCTCTGAATGGCTTCTGCAGTCAGCATGTTTGCTGAACGGTCCACAACACACTAAAGAGAAGAAACTCACACAGATGGGGGTAAAGGAAAGGAAGTAGCGAGACCAGCCTGTCCCAATCTAGTACTTCCAGAGGCCAGAGCTCGCCCCCTGAGCTTTAGGCAGCTAAGCAGACCCCTGTCATATTCTCAACACTGGAACCAGAGGGTGAAGGCAATACCTTCGGATATGTGACATCTACCATTG